TCTGGGAACGAGATTGAGTCTGTCCACAAACGTTTTTCTTTCCTGTGATTTCGTTTTTTTCGTCAAGGCGCGTGCGAAAGCTTTGCGTTTTGGTTCGTTCGTATTCCACGCGTCGGGTTAATATTTTGCTAAGCTTGCGCTCTCGACGAACTCGAGTCAATATAGAGGGTCTGTGGACAGACTAAGGCTATCATGACAAAGGTCTAATGACAATGTCTCTTGTGTTTCGTTTCCAGGATTGGTATCGACCAGAGCGTGGAGATCCCAATATTGGTTAGTACAATAGCCATGCCGCAAGGAAGGGTTCGCCTGACGCTCTCTCATCCCTGCCATCGGATCATGGTGAGGCGCTCTGTTGAATGGGGTTCCCGGATGTTCGGAATTTGTTTGCATAATGTAGAGAAAGGTTTCACTGATTATGGAACTGTGGTCGAGATCCAAGCGACTGAAAATTTTCCGGGTGAAAAGATGGTAGTCCAAGCAATTCCTAAACAAAGATTTCACGTTCTTTCGCGTGGTGTAGTGGATGGTTGTCCTGTAGCCAAGGTGGAATGGGTTGAAGACTTGAACATCGATGATCCCGAGAAGATCGTTCATTTGAAGTGGCGCAACTCGATGAGCCATGTTATGCTAAAAAGGTGGGTTGCCGGATTACCTTTTGACGAAAAGGCTTGCATTGAACATGCGTTAGGGCCCATACCGCCTTGCGACAACCACATGCTTCTGTCGCCGCACGGACCTCCTTGGCTGTGGTGGGCTATGGCGGCAGTACCACTTCAGTCACAGGAAAAACTAAGAATTCTAGTTATGCCAAGTGTAGCCGACAGGTTACAAAGCCTTCAGAAATCCCTCGACTCACTGCTGCAATTAAAGAAAGACAGGAAGCCTAGTGATGCGAACGAAGAAGTTACACGCGTGAAATGCACTGCGCCATGCACCTCCTTGGGTTAAACGCCGTTTCTTTGGAGTTTTTGGATAAAGGCAACCATAGATTTAACGCTGACTTCAAACGACAACGACTACTGTTTCAAAGAACCCCTGACTTTTATCCGTATCGCTACGAAGCCCCAGTCGGTTGTGACTAAGAAGCCCGTTCTAATGGCGACATTCCTGTCATCCATACTGTTACAGTTATCAATGAGGTTAAATCCATTATTTTTAGAGCGACGATTTTATCACTAGAAGTAGTCCCAGTTCCTCGAAAATTCCAGTGAAATACGACAATCGTAAGCCGAAGTTTAGGGTTTATATTGGAAGAAACCGTCCTTGTCACAGGTAGAAAGGTGCTGGGTAGTTTTACTAGCGTTTATAACAGGGTTCGTACTCTTTTAAGCTCTTCAAATTCCATGACCTTTTCCATTTTTTCACGACCTTAAGTGTAGCTGTCGCTTAATAAAATTTTCAAAACTATCCTTGTTTAAGGATATTTAAGACAAAAACTCAGTTCCACACACAGACAAGAGATAAAATTGGGGCCAAGTTGCTCTTTTTTTTTTTGTTAACATTACCCATGCAAATACTTGTTTCTCTGTCTATGACATGTGCAGGCATGAACGTACCAGGCTTAACTTTTATTTCCCATGACTTTCCACGACCAACAATTCAATTTTATGACTTTCCAGGCCTGGAAAACGAAATTCTTGAATTCCACGGCTCTCCAGCTTTTTCGATGACCCTTGCGAACCCTGTTAAAAGTAACTGAAGAATCTGGCCTGAATTCTCTCACGCAAAACCAAGCATGTTATCAACAATTCAAAATTCGCACCAACGGCTGCAATAAAATAAAAACAGACCAAAAAGCTGCAATAAAATACAAACAGACCAAACAGCTGCAATAAAATAAAAATAGACCAAACAGCTGCAATAAAATAAAAATAGACATCGTGGTCTCTTACTTATTGGATACGGAGGATACTACAATTTAATGTCTATTTAGGCACAACACGAATAGTAATATTTATCATTAACAACAAGAATGGAAATATTTTATAAATGAGAGTTAATCGAGATGTTTGTAACTTGGAATAACAGAAGGAATGAGTTGGAAATGCTCATAACATTTGTAGGTTATTCAACAGTACACGTAGCATCTTTCTTCACTCGCGCTTGAGTAACTTGCGGCACGTGCAATGTAATACACTGTCTTTCGTGTTGATTTAATGAAAATATCATGGTAATATTATATTTATGAAGTTGATCTCTACCTATAGAGGGGTATATATAGGGGTAGTATTCAAACTAAAAATAAAGCCATACTATTTCAAAGCTTTTCGCACTGGATGAACAACCCCCACCAGCCCCTCCATTCCATTTACCCTGTTGTAGCCTCCATAACTTATTTATTCCCCTTACACTCGTATACATGGGTTATTGACCAAGCATAAGGTCAAGATGGCTGGATATTGACCAAGTTTTTTCTATGCGTGTTCCGTCTCGGTCCATAAACACGCAAAACAAGAACGAGGCCAATATCCAGGCATCTTGACTGAAAAAGTTTCACAGCGAAGGATTCGGTTCATCTCTCCCGCACACGGAGTTAGGCATATAACAAATGGAGTTATCACAAATTTCTCAGGAGAAACAGGATAGTCAAACACGTACTTATTACAAATGCATGAGATAGTGACAGTTTTTGTCTCTTCAGATATTTTTAGTAAGCAACCAATCGATGAGTCTACACCATTTGGCATCGAAATGGTATATACAATCCTTCGAAATCGCGCACTGTAAGGTTTAATTTCTTTTGTTTAGTATTGTGGCAAGTAAAACCACTAACGAAGGGTGCATAGTCAAGATGAAAGGGTTGGTTCTAGTGTGTTTTCTCTAAGATACGAAATGCCTGGATCTCTTCCCAGTAACTTTCTTGTAGTCCAAGTCCGAGAATGGTGAATCCACCAAAGCATCACGGGTAATCCCGTGATCGCTGGCAACCGAGTCATTCTCGTCAATTTCTCGCTCTAAGCTAGACACGGGTATATCCTCAATTTCCCCAGGGATTGCTTCTTTAAGCAAAGCCTTTTCTGTATCTTCTTTGCCCAGCAAGTCCCTCGTGTCTCCCTGTTTTGCAACCTTTTTGTCCTCATTGTCATTGTCGCTCTCACTGAATTCACTTTCATCGATTGTGAAGTCGTCTTTGAGAGCATCACGAATGAAGTTTTCTACTAGAGTCACGTTATCGCGAAATCTGTTGATGTTAAAAGGAATCTCGCTCCGTTTAGAAATTAGACTGTCAACCGACAGGTTGTCGATGTCACTGTCTCCATTCAGGCTCGCTGAATCACTTTTGTCGGTGCCTTGCTCGGCTTTCTTTGTCAGCAAAAACCCCTTCACATCGCGAATAAGAGAGAATAACTTCGTCTCAATCTTAGTGATTTCTTCGAGTTTTTGGTGCAGTTGACTTTTCAAGTCATCGCTGTCTGGAACACCTATAGGGCTACCAGGGCTGGCAGCGGCGTGATCTATGTGGCTTGCTATCTCCTGTTTTACAACCTCATCAATCAATTCCTTAGCTGTGACCATATGAGGTTTGCTCGGCGCATGCGCCTGATCTGCTTGTGCATGTTCTTGTTCTTTCTTCTTATGGAGTTTCGTCAAAGCTTCCTCCACTGCCTGGCGAATCCCAGCCTTGTCTGTGTAACTGTTCTCGACTTTTTCTCTGAGATCATCAGCAGTCAGCAACGTGTGTTCCTTGAACGCATCCATGATAGGAAATGCTCCTCGTTGGTGTGCATCGTCCTGTTGTAGTTTTTCTCTCAGCAAACTGCTGCTGTCGTAGCTTGAACTGAAAAGGTCGTCACCAAGGCCGATATTAAGACCCAGTAGATCATCTGAAAGAATGAACACAAAGTTCAGTCTACTAATCGACACAATGATCTATATGCAGCTTGGACATGTCGACAGCATCAAGCTCATCAATCGGGGAAACGACATTACAGCGTTAAAACATCAGACAAGTGATATTAGTATTACAAGAGTAACCCTTCGCATTTACCCCTGTTCCCTCCCCGTGGGCAAAACAGCGAACAGCTAGTGACCTCGATCCTGAATCCTCTACACTGTAAAACTAGGATAGATTGGCCTACATTTCCTTGGCTTTGCATAACCAAATACTCGAGAATAGGCCTTGAACGCAGGATTCGCACTTAGTTTAGTGTTTTACACGTTGATCTGTTCTCCTTCTAAACAATGTTCTCAGTCAACAAACAGGCTCCCAGTACCGTCCACTATTTGGCTGTTCGGTTTTGTGCAGAAAAGACGTCTTTCGCGGAGTCAGTACCTTTATATTTTCATCGCACCAAGAAGGACTACTACTTGTTTGAGGAGGCGATCCATGGAGGTATAACTTCATATATTCCACTAAAGGTCTTTTTTTATGCTTACGTACTTTTGTTTTGAGCCAAATCGTAATTTATTGCAATTTGTTTTCGCAGCTGTGTTTTCAACACTGAAACAACGGTGGAAATGTCAGAAGTAAAGTAACAATGTCTTTCGTCAGTAATTTTAACGAACCTTTTTTGGACAAATCTGATGACCACTCTGCGTTGACCACTGTAGTGGTGTAAAAAGCTAAGCACAAAACAGTTGACATGATCCATACATGGCTCCAGTACATTATGGATCCCTGAAATGAAGTAAAGGATACAAATACTGTTAAGATTAGCTCCACTATGCATTTCATTGTAAAGTCAAAAGATGTAGATGTAAGATGAAATGTTTATTATTATTTTTTCATCCAGTTTATAATAATGATAACCGGCTGAGCCCTCCTGAGTATGGTTTAAAACCCGATGTCGCAAGTGTTTCTAAATTCGAGATTAAATCGGATGGAAGTCAGGGTCTAATGGAGCAATTGCCACAGAACACCTTCAAACATTTAGATTGTTAGAGAACCGAAACAAATTGTTTCATCCAAGTATTCTTTTCTCCCAGCTCTGAGAAATTGATTTAGGATCACGAAGACGCAGGAATTCTTTTTCCTGTCCTCCCAAAATTAAAGAAACATTCGTACCTTGTTGTAAATCGCAGGTTCAGGTTTTCTTGATCATCGGAATTTTGAAAAAGTCTTTCTTCTTTCTTCGTAACTTTTCTGTCAAAATGTTAGCGATTACAGATTTTTCCTAGAGTGAGTGTTAATAAATTAAACATATCGTTTTCTGGTGTTTTACTCTAGTGAAACGGGTACCAGCCAGTGAACAGCCACTTATTCCCGGCAATTCTATAGTAGTGACTGTCAGACCTTAGTAACGACAAACATCAAAGACAAATTTTGTTCTACGAAATACAACGTTGGCTGAATATAGATTGTTGTATTTCACGTCGCACTGAAAACGCGATCAAGTTCCCTGCCTCTCTATTCTTAAAGAAAGAGTGAACGGCGATCGTTTGTTGAAAAATTAAACCTACGGAACTGGTATATTAGTTTAACAAGGATATTGACGCGAAAAACATCTATTATGTTGTCACGTGACTCATTTGTGATTGTCTTTCAAACCAGTGTTTCGGGGGAGTCTCTCGCTTGTGACTCCTAACTGAAAAACGTGGAGATCAATCAATCTAAAAGATTGATCAGAAAATATTTCGCAAAATTAGACATGTTGGATTAAAAAAGTTGCCCTTGAGATGTTTGAGTTATTCGCGAACAAAATTAAAAAACGCCAGAAATCAAAGGTGCAAATCAGTAGCATTTTACCACTTTTCGAAACTAGCCAGCCAAGAACTTGTAGAAGTAGAAAGCTATGCCGTGTATGCTGGTCTGTGATCAGAGTGGTTTTCTCCTATAAAGACTACTTTTCGCGGTCAAAAGTCCCGCTAGACCTTTCATATCTCCAGCAGCTGCAATGGTCTCTCACCTCATGCATAATCCCCATGGAGTATGTTGCGATAAGATTTCAAGCCTTCCCAGTCTTCCTATGCAAGACTTAATTCTGAAAGTTGCCTTTTAACTGACAACAAAGAATTGCCCCTTATTGTATGTATCAGTGTCGATGCCGCTCATCTCTGAATGGGCCTTAGCTTCCACTCACCATCGCAACAAGCACGCAGTTTGTCGAAGACGCTTTACTCTGTTGGATATGAAAGCAAGAAAAGCCGAGCGATAATCGATTCATTCACATTCCAAAGTGATTTCATGATTTCCGAGATCCGACACGCTTGCGTGGTTTTGGTGTTGTTAGTAACTCGTCTCGCATCATGGAGAGCAACCTTAACGAGACTTAAATCTTCCCGATCAAGAATAGTCTGAAAATCTCGCTTCCCATAGAAAGCTAGCTAATCAGTCGAGGCAGTGTAAAAGACGTATGAGAGATACATGGGTATTTACTTCGTTAAGAATGTGACCTGGAGGAATCGTATTTTGATGCGCGAGAGATGAGGCACGACCACACACCTTGACCTCACTGTCTTTGTTTTGGTTTCCCAATAAAGGTAATATTGGTCACATTAATTAAGTTTGTTATTAGAAATATGGTATCTCACACTAACGTAGTAACATAATTGTTTCCAAGTTATGACTTCTCAAAATTCATTACTTTTCTTTGTTGATTTAACTGTGTTGTTTTCCATTTATTTTTTTTACCTTTCACTGCTAGCAAACGGCAATTCTTTATTTAATTGATTAGTAAGAAAATAAGCTAGTTTTGGAAATCTAACCTGATTTCATTCTTTAGATTTGGATATAAGAGAAGTCAAATGACCCGAAAAAACAGCCATTGAAAAGTGATTAAAGAGTTCAGATTCTTTTGTGAACGCACCACTAAAATGGCTGAAAATGCAGGTGACATCTCTTGGGTCTTAATTAAGCTCCTAAGTCCTTAGCCTCGAGAAATCTATGTTCAGTTCAAATGATTTCTTTGTCGTTATATACAATTAATATTGGATGTTTCCAGCTTATGGTGTGTCCCTGCCAGATCTTTAGATCTGTCCTACAAAATATGATGGTAAATTTAACTGATTTACATATCTCGCACGATTTCACAATTAATTTTCTTGTTTTCCTTTCATAGAGAAATGAGGATCGCACTCTACATCACAAGTATTCTTTTCAATTTACAATGCTTTTCCGTTGGTTTCAAAAGCAAACTCAGGAAAGAGACAGATAGCAAAAACTCAGTGCAAACAGTTAAATATCAAGAGCATCGAGATGTGTCTTTGCTTTATGGAGCTACAAAGGACTTGGAAGATTCTGGCCATGTAGCGGTAAACGATTTTGAAGGGAGTGGCGAAAACCTAATTCCAGATTTCAAAAAGACGAAGAAAACTAGAAAGCATCATCTGAAAGGTCTGATACGGTTTCCTCATGGACGAAATGTCTCTGCGACGAAAAAGCAAACCGTTCTAACTAATAACAAGAATCTAATTCAACATCAGGACCGTGGAGTTGTGGCGCCTTCTGTTAAGGTGCGTCAAGTTTATCCTACTAAACCAAAAAGAAAAACCCTTGGCATTAAAAGTCATGTGAAAAACACATATCGAACAATAAAAAAGCATAAAATACCAAGCAGAAACACTCGGCGCGGATATACAACAAGGAAACGAACCAACGTAGAAGACGATCTAAGCGACGAACGTCAAACCATCTCAAAGACTCTCAGCTCCCTGGACGATATTCAAGGTTCGTACAGCAGGGGACTCGACATTGACGGCATGGATATCAAGGAAGTTAATATGATCGATAATAGGACTCTCTCAGACTATTTTCACGCCTTAAATGATAATGCAAGTGATAGCACTAACAACAACAACAATTATGAATACACGCCTACATCCACTCAACCTGCAGCATACCCAAAGTTAGCATGGGATGATGGCCCCGCGCCTTCAAACACAGATGAAAACAGTGGTAATGATGATTTCTACGATGCCATCGACCGAGGAGACGAGCCTCCACCGATTAAAATGAAAAAGGTTCGTCCAACAAAGTCTCATTTCAACAAGATGATGCACAAATCAAACAAAGATTCCAGCTCCATATCGGCAAATCCACATTTAACCTCTTCTTCTAAATTTCGTTTACCCTCCCAGGAGGACTTTGAAAACTTTTTTCGCGGAATGCTGGATCATTTTGGACATGGAAGAAACTCAGACAAATCTGAAGAGCAGAGTGAAGCTGATGATGATCATCACGAACCTCTTGGTGGTCAAAGTAACATGACAGCCTTCTTGGACGTTCATGGTAAGCATCGTCAAGGAGATGTGACAAAACTTGTTTCGTTGGGAAACCCAGAAGTAGTGCAAGTACCAAAACAAACGCAGCACAACAATGTGGGTTCTGATGTTGATACAAATCCACCGGTTTTCAACGATGAACAGGTCGGAAGAGATGGAGAAGGATTTGCATCGTTCCTTCCACCACCAGGGAATCCTAACACGTGGACTGGTACACTTGACAACAACAGATACCCATCACATGATCCCTCGTCATCACCAAACAATCCGGCGGAAAATGCGGGTAATCCTCCCTTTACTTTGCATATGCCACATCAACAACATGCGAAACAAGTCAATCCATATTTTTCGAGGCCGCAAGAGGACAGTTCACCTTTGACTCCACCTTTTAAAGGAACTCGAATCATGGGGGGCAAAATATCCGGGGGTCAAATTTCCGGCGGTTTGATTCAAGGGGGACAGATAAAAGCAGGGTCGATAGAAGGTGGCGTCATTAAAGGAGGCCAGGTTACAGGCGGGCGAATAACCAACGGGACTATGGAGGGTGGCGTGATTTCTAAAGGACAAATGTTAGGAGGACGCTTAGTGGATGGTAGACTTGAGGGAGGGCAACTGTTAGGCGGGAATGTCTTCGGAGGGAGAATACTCGGAGGGAGTGTGGAAGGAGGAAATATAAAAGGTGGAGTGGTGGCAGGGGGGAGATTTCGAGGAGGAAATATGCAAGGAGGTGTACTTAAAGGAGGTGAAATACAAAGCGGAATTATAAAAGGTGGTAAAGTGGAAGGTGGTATTTTGCACGGAGGTAACATTGAAGGTGGCGAGTTAAAGTTTGGGGATATATCCGGAGGGACTCTCAAAGCTGGCTCCATGCTAGGCGGACAGCTGAAGAATGGTACAATTGAGGGAGGGACATTGAAAGGAGGAACAATAGAAGGAGGTGTACTCAAAGGGGGAATCATGGAGGGTGGGCAACTGAAGGGAGGGCTTGTTCTCGCTGGTAAGATCAAGGGTGGAGTCATTGAAGGAGGCGTAATAGAGGGAGGGGAGATTGGAGATGGTGTTATAATAAGAGACGGTAAAGTTAATGCTACAATCATAGGTACAGGGAGTTCTATTGATAAGAATCAGAGTCTTGGTGGGTTGTTTAAACAAGGGGAAAATTCACAGCAGTTGGGACTCAAAGTTGACCAGCAGAAATATCACCTCCAAAGTGGCAATACTGTGCATCAATCAAAAGCCATGTCAGCCTCAGCTACAAACCCACCAACACATATCATCACCACTGACCATGGGTTAAAGGCAGTCAATCCAAATTTTAACGTTAAGGTACCTTTACGCGAAGGAACTCTGAAAATGCTAACGGAGGAAAATGATTCAACGGAAGACGACGACCTTGAAAAGTTATTGTTTGAGGGGAAGTCTGCGAATGAAAACACCCCTGAGCTTTCTTCTCAGAGGTTCTTTGAAGAACAAGACCAGCCCAGTCTTGTTCAAAAGAAAGATTCCAAGCAACACCATGTTGTTTTGGACGGAGTCGGTTTTGATCTCCCAAACGAAGATTTCGTGGATCTCATTGACAAAATGAAGCGCGGCCCAAAAGCGGTTGAAGACCTCTTCAGTTATTATAAAAAGCCAAACATAAAAGAGCACTTAAAAATCGGACACATTTCAAAAACAACAAAGCTATCAACTTCTCCGCATCTTAAAAAAATTGAACATATCAAGCCAGAAGATCTGGAAAAGAAACTTAGCAGCCCTACGAAACCTAGGTCCAGTGTTATGCGGTCGGATAAGGATAAGAATGCAAACAATGACAAGGAAGAGGAATCCATTTCAGCATCATCAGCTGCTCACAACGGAAAACTTAAGCCCTTGAGTTTTAGTACAAAGGACGCTGAGAAACGTAAGTGATCAGTGCTAACACAAAACAACATGCAACGAAGTAGACTACTAGGAAACGTCAGTTTTTTTTTTTTTACGTTGTGTTGTGTTGTGATGTGCGTTCTTTTCTATTCTTTATCTTTATCAGTGAGGCCGACATATCACTGGTCTTTAAACAAACTCATCAAAGATCGGATACCAGGAAGTCCAGGGCCAGCTATACGAACACACGGAGAAATGACGGCTATAAGGGGAGGACTTCATCTTAATGGTCATAACGCATGGCTGGGAGCTGGTGACTTCTCTGGAGGATGCATTAGTGGTATGGTAACATTATAGTCGTGTTATTGTGATGTAAAAGAAAACAACTACGTAAAACACAAAGAAACACTACTTCAATGGCTTTGATACACTGAGATATCTCAATCCCGGTAATACAATAATTGTTGAATTAATTGAATCGGAAGTGAAGCGAGAAAAGAGAGAACTTTAACACAGCACGAAATAGCAACTTTACTGTTCCGTAAAGCTGCCGTAAAGCTGCCGTAAAGCTGCCGTAAAGCTCGCATTTACGGAACTTTACGGATCTTTACGAAATCGTAAAGTTGAACTTTAAGCGTCTTTACGGGGTTCTGTTAAGACACATAAGGGGATACATTTACGGAACTTTATCGCATCGTAAAGTTGCGTGAAGCTGTACTTTACTATGTCCGTAAAGTTTTTTCAAAGCACTGTAAAGGCATCCTTTCATACGGATTTACGGACACGTCGCGTAAAGCTGTACTTTACTATGTCGGTAATGTCCTCTTAAAGCGCTGTAAAGGCATCCTTTCATAAGGCTTTATGGACATCAAAGCCACGCAAATGCAAGCCCAATATCGTCCGCATTTTGTTCTGTTCAGCACTCAACTAAGCTCAAGCACTTGCTGGAGGGCGCAGGATACGAGGCTGATCTTAGCATTAATTTTGCTCATCCTACACACCTAAATCAAATTCCAAAACTTTTACTTATTAACTAAATCCGAATCAAGCCATTTCTAGTACCTCACTCCATGAAAGGTTTAGTAACATCCTCCCCTCCTTCTTTCATTCATTCATTTATCCTTAAAAACGGTTTACTCTGCTCAGATCCTGATACCTGTGATGATGGCCTATCGTTTGAGATGACCTTTCGACTAGACAAGGATGCTCTAAAGTACAACGACATGAAGTACATCGTGGATTCGGGAGCCTCGACTTTTAACTCCAAAGGCTTTACGTTGTACACGGTACAAGGGAATCTGAGAGCTGATTTAGCAGTTGCAAACAAAGAGTTTTGTGTACAAATTCCTCTGATAGTACAAAGATGGCAGGACGTTCTTGTCACATGGAAGAAAAGCGAAGGTAAATACCACTTCAACAACACCGACTCGGTCGCATGGCATGATCATAATTTGCAGTTTAGTATTTATGAAATCTCTTGAGTTGAGTTGTCAGGGTTGTGACGGGGTTATGCGTACGTGTGAACGTGTATGAAATAGGATCACAACTTTGCCACCCACCTTTCCTTTAGCAACCTGCAACAAACTTTGCCGAGAAGTGATTTACTGCAAATCCCTAAATTGGCTTTACTTTTGAACACCGTGCCGAGTTTGTTATCGCCTAGTATGCGTTTCTACCTATTCGCTCGTTGTTTAAGTCTAATAACAACACCATTAATCGATTGTCGATCTTATATCTCTAACAGGAATGAAAATGTACGTTAACTGCGAGCTGAAGGCGCACTCCAAAGGGAGTGAGCACTGCATTGGCTGTCACTCTCACGGCTGTCACGTGACAGACACTAACACGCTTCTGATGATTGGCAGGCCAAACTACAGCCCTCACTTTCACTGTACCAAGTTTGACAGCGGCGACATTTCCTTCTGGGAACGGTACCTGTCCGCTAACGATGTGGAAACATTGTGTGGAGCACCCACAGGTAAATTATATGTCTTTGATACTCAGACGGCAAAATTCAAATTCCATTTTCATCTTATAAAACAGAAAATATGAAAACTATAAATAGGCAGAGAAATAAAGTACATAAATATTATCCTATACATAAAGTGCAAAAATGGCCCGATAATACATGTTTTCAACTTCCAGCCTGAATGAAACCAGATACTGGAAATTGCAGTCTAAATTTCCGCATCTTGCACGAGTCGGGTTGATAATTTAGCATAAATTTGCATCATAACATCCTTGGAACAGTTCACAAAGGATACACTACATCCCCGGGACTACATCCCATCAGTGTCATTTGGATAATACTCCACAGCGTGCAAGGAAATAAAATAGATGAGAAAATTCATCTACTCTTACGGTTGGCAGCCGGATTGTCGCCTGCTGCTTGAACAATGAGGGAAAAAACCATTTGCTCTTTCATGCCAATCGAAATGTTTTTGTTAGGAGTGGCGTGACATAAACAAAAGATAATCCTTTGCTAATATTGCTCAACATCGATCGGTTGAACAAAAAATAACTTTTACATTGACAATAATATTTGATTATTCTTTAAGTCGTTTCGTCTGGTCATCTCGCTTGAAAGAGAAATCTACATAATTATGCAACTGAGTAGTTTGTGTTATTGGAACGAGTCACTCTTGACCTCAAAAAATGAACCCGCAGGAAAATTCTTAAAGACCAGTCGTGAATTGCGTAATTTGGTCTTATTTTGTGGAACCCTTTTGAAAATGGAGGTTTCCTCCTTGTCACTTATATAAAAAAATGCAATGGCATAATGCTGCATTTTCATTGAGTTGCTACTGAGTCGCGGACAATATCTTTTAAATAGAGGCGATTGGCACGATCGCAGGGAAAATGCCAATAATTAGGAAATACGACCAAAGAGAGATTCATTACGCTGTTTCCTAGGGAAAAACATGTCCCCATAGGAATTTAATGATCTGGCTCCTAAATAATGATGCTGCAAGTTTTCGACCGGAACGAGAGCGGAATAATCCTCGAGAAATATTTGACATAATAGACAAAGCTGGTATTTTGCATCAAAATAAAGCCATAAACGCGCAGAAGGCGGAATCGAACCGCTCCGACGCTAATCGGCTACAGGTTTGAAGCCTGCACCCCACACCAGTGAGGGTCATCCGCGCAATATAGCACTTTGCCATCGATGGTTATTTATTTCCTCCACACTGTACGCCTCCACACTTGTGGTACGACAACGGGTATCGACAAATAACAGATGATTGTATTTTCCTACAGAAACTTGCATCGTCTGTTTCTTCCGAAATATTCTTCTATGAGCTTATTGATTTTTCCCCCAAAATGTAGCATTATTGAATGGTGTCGTTTGTTTATGATAACTTGAACGCATCTCATTTACGCATGCGTAATAATAACACATCAAATTTGCGCTCTATTTTGTGCTTTAAAATGGCTATTTTTTGTAAGCATGAATATAATAAAACTTAATTTTATGAATATTGAATTTATTTTGCACATGGAGAGGTCATTTTTTATTTCTTTATTTACTTATTTACTTATTTATTGATCAAATAACAGGAGAAAAGGTCTAACATTCGTATTCTACGAATTATTTAATTTTATATCTTCTTTGAGTAAGTATCTATTTATTTATTTTTTGCTTAATTTTCAGGTGAGACCGGTGACACTGAGAAGGCCAGCGCATCGAATCCCACTACTTTTCAGGAAACTAGTCAATTGGCATTATCACCAGCGCCTGTCAATCAAGCTACTTTTCGAGCCAATCCAGTGCAAAGTTATATCGCAAATCAACCATATTTTAATCGATTTACAGGTAAGGGGGTGATGACGCCGTCTCCTTACCGTCCAATGTCAAGATTTTCTAGTTTATCTTCAAGTGAGGCAAATACTTTTAATAGATACAACACCTTCCCTGCTGCCTCTACATCGGGTCTTAACGGTGATAATAGACTCGATCGTATAACGAAAGAACACAAGGAGAAACCTGTTTCAAGGCAATTGGAAAATAAGGAAATGTCCCCATTCTCAATGTCAGGGACAATACCACTTTCAACCGAAAACATCCCGATTTCCCGCTCTAACTCTTATTTATTTCATAACCTTTTTCCTCTTGCAAACTCTAATGATCTGCGTGGAAATGATAATAAGCAGAATAAGGGTACTGGCTCCTCGTTTTATTCGAACCCTTTCACGCAAAACGCAATTCTGACGAATTCATTGCCTTATTCCCATAAGGAACGTACGTATAGTGTAACGCCGCACCCTGTTGAAGTAGGGTCACTGAGAAACAGATTTACGTCTGTTTCACGAACTGACGCGTTAGCAAGCAATATTGGTTTATATGAGAACCAAAACAAAATTACTTCTTCTTCGCCATTAGTAAATGGTTATCTAAAAGATAGTACATTCCCGAACGATGGGATCACGCATAGTTTCCATAACACTGAAACTGGACAAGCGTTGCCTATTAACCCCTACTCGTATTTTAGACTTCCCGTAAAAACAACTCGAAGAGATAATTTTCAGCTAACTCAATATTCGTTCTTTAAGCCTGTTTCTACTAACGTAGCTAATGATTCCCCTTTTCGATCACCATTGAACAGTGCATTTTACCCCCGCCTCCCTCTATTGGGGAAATGCGGTATAATCTCTTCAGCTGAAGATAAAGTTGTAACTGAAGGGGAACTAAAAGAGAAAGGGTTGCTCAGCGACATTTTGTCGCGAGACCACATACGCCGCAAACCTGGTAAAGTCTTGAAAGTATGTTATTAAGCTCAACTGATAAAAAAAAAAAACTCCTACGGAAGTTAGCATAGGATATCTAGTGGTTGAGTGTAGCCAGTATTTTTACAGCTGGATATAGCATGGCATTTTTTCAAAAACGAACGGTGGGCGAGAATTTATCAGCGAAAAAACTACTTAGACTATGTGAAGACGTGTGCTATGTTCTTTTGTGAGGGAGAAGTCACGTCAGTTTCCGCGTGAAAGGAAATAGCAGGAGTCTGCACGCAAGCTAAAAGCTACTGAAAGTTTTCAGGAGTGAGTAATTTAAAATTATTTTTAAGCACTTGTATAACGCCTTTTTATTTTTGTAACACTTTTAACAGTGAATATAATACTGTATTTAAATTTCAATCTAAATATTCTTATTGATCAGTAATTATTCTTATTAATTATTAATTCTTGTTAATAATCTTATTAATATTCTTATTCATCATTTTAATCCTTTTAATTAGTGTTTTATACCCCTTATCGCATTGCTGTAAAATAAATTACTGATTCTCGGCTAGTTGAACGAGAGATATATCCCCCAAAGAAACTGCAAAATGTACATACATTTCATTGCAAGCCCCTTTTTTACCTGCATTTCATCAACATTACCCTCTATCATTATTTAATTGCTACTGTTTTCATTATTTAATTGCTACTGCTGGACATCTATTACCATGGATTACCCTCTATGATAAGAGTGCTGTTTTAGAGAACTCTTTTTTCTGTTCTAAAAACCACCGGTTTAGTAGAACTGTTGAAATGAAGAACTGCTGTTTTATTATGAAGGTAAAAGCAGAATTGATAACCTTTTTGGCTAGTTAAGTTCTTTCCCTTAACGAGTTCGAGTCTTCTTGAATTGTTAACCAATCAAGACGATGCTTGTTCTCGATTGAGTTAATACAGTAAGCACACAGTGAGACGGATATCAAGAATCCGCCAACAATCTTTACTGCATGACAAGGGGTTGTTCGTTTTGTTGGAAAGCCTTCCTTCCGTAGCTATCCCTTCACACTTTCCTTGATTTTCTCTCTCTGTAATGAGCCGCTATACTTATCTGGCTATAAACAAAGCTTTTCGTGTTATTTTTCGTACCAGTTACCACTCTTGTTCAGTGATCTGGTTAATGCAGTAGATATTGGTAGAT